CTCACAGCCTTTATGCATGTATTTCTTCCCAGAACCCCTGGCTGTGTTAATAACGTTTTCTTTGGAAACAAATCCTCCTCTTCCTCAGATGAGCCCTTCTCCAGTTGCTGTGGGAGTTTTCTTATTCTAGGCAGAGCTCAGCTGCGGGCTTGGTGGGAGCAGGCAGGTGGGTGGCGCGGTGGTGGGGACGTACCTGTGCCTCTTGTCCCTCAGACTGCCCCCAGGTCCAGTGCGTGCACCCATACGTGGCTCAGCAGCCAGACGAGCTGACGCTGGAGCTCGCCGACATCCTCAACATCCTGGACAAGACTGACGACGGTGAGGCCCAGGGACCTCCCCTCGGGGCCCCCAGGGGACGCCGCACGGAGCCTTGCCCGGCAAGAGATGACGGGGAGGTGGAGAAGCATCACCACTGGCTGAGGGGCGGGTGCCCTGCCATGTCTCTTGCTCCCTGAGACGTTCTGCTTGGACACCGTCCATCCTGGCTTCATTGGCCTTTCCTCAGCATAAAGGAGGAATTGTTTTCAGTGTCTCCCTGTCCTCCCCTAGAGTTGGGAGGGCCCACCTTTCCTCCTTCACAGTGGGCCCAGCCCAAGCGGGTGGCTTCGTGTCCCCTTCCCCTGGTCCTGGCCTCAGCGCCTCCATCACAGTGTGAGGGGACAACCAGGAACATCCTAACCCTGACCTCACCCAGACCCGACCCTGCCCTCACCCAGACCCGTACTTGCAGCTTCAGGTAAGCCTGTGACCACCAGGCTCGGTGCCCCATGTGGGCCAAGAAGCCGCCCCCAGCTCCTGGCCACCCCTGCTGGTGTCATCAGTACCAAGTGAAGTTCCTCCCAGCCCCTGTAGAATTGAACACAGACCGCCTTTCCCTTTTCAAATCACATCCCTGTCTCTACAGTAATTGCTCCTGATCCAAATCCCCAAAGTATACAACCGCATCTTCCCCGCCTCCTCCTCTCCTGCCGGGTCCTGGTGGAAGGCCTCAGGCTGGGACCTCCAGGGGAGGCCTTCTCCAAGGAGTCCCTCTTGTGAGCTGTTCCCAAAGGCCCAGGGGCTCTCCTGCCCTCTTCCCATGGAATATAACTAGCCTGCTCCCCTCCCAAATGAGACCTGCAGAGGGCATGCCCCAGGCTTCTTAGCTCCGATCAGCCACAAGGTCTGAGCAAAGACCTGGTGATCTCCAGGGGAGGGGAGAGGTGGAGAAACAGGGCAGGGAGAAGCCAGGTGACGCTGAGACTACTGGTGTTGCCAGTTCACGATGGGCCCTCTCGACTGACCACACTGGCCCTGAGGAGGCCAAGCCTGGGAGGATCTGCTCAGCAAAAGGCTAATGACACAGTCCAGACCAGCTAACCACGCACTCAGCTGCCACCCCCACCAGCCCCTTGAATGCCCCCAGCTCTTTGGAGTGGCCCTTGGGTCTCCTGGGCTCGTGTAGGGCAGCACAGAATTGCCGAGGGTCCCCGAGCGGGTTCCAAAGTCAATGTGGAACTGCGTGGCACGGAGCAGGTCTTGTTCTGTGCAGATGCCCACGCACCTCCCAGCTTATAGGGGTGAATCCGGTCTGAGCATCTCGGCAGAGGTGTGCAGAGCTGCTGCGTTTTGGGAAAGGCCAGCTGGATCCCTAGTGTCCTGCACACAGATGGGGGCCCTGGCTGGGAGGGAGCCTCTGTGCAGCCTGCGCCCTACAGGGGCACCTAACTTTCCCTCCCTCCCCTCCCTGCACAGGGTGGATCTTTGGCGAGCGTCTGCACGACCAGGAGAGAGGCTGGTTCCCCAGCTCCATGACTGAGGAGATCTTGAATCCCAAGATCCGGTCCCAGAACCTCAAGGAATGTTTCCGTGTCCACAAGATGGATGACCCTCAGCGCAGCCAGAACAAGGACCGCAGGAAGCTGGGCAGCCGGAATCGGCAATGACCGCCCCCCCAGGGGGCCGGCGCGAGCAGGGCCTGCATGAGACCCTGACAGAAGGTGGGGGCTCTGGGAAGCACAGGCCAGCGCCTCCCCAGGTGGCAGGATCTGACTTGGGGTGCCCGGCCCTCATCCCTGCCCACACAATGTGTGCTCACGTGTCTTGGCCCCTTGCTCGCAAACTGGATAAAGGGTGCCCAAGCCTCTCCTGATGCATTTGTAAACAAGAAGGTTTCAGCAGTATTACACCATCTCCCTCGTGCCTCTGAGGGGGTGGAAGGGGGTGGGCACGCTCCAGGGCCCCCCGCGCCCCTGGCCCCCGGGACTAGAAGAGGCTCCCAACCCAGAGTGTCCCCGTGGGAGGCAGGCAGAAGGTGACAATTGACATGATTTCCTGCACGCGTCCTCCTCTACCTTGGAAGCAGTTAGAATCCACCAGGCACAGATGGGGCCGCCCTTGCCTGACGGAGCTTGATGAGCAGCCCTTGGTCTCCAGTTCCCAGGACTGAGAGCCCAGCTGCCCCTGTTCACCCTTCCCCGGGCCTCTGCCAGCCTCTGGCTGCACGGTCAGGCCCTGCTCCACAGCAGGCCTGCCAGAGCTTGGCTGGGGACCCCTCCCACCTCTGGCTCCCTGATGGGCTGGAGGTAACTTGTGTCTTCTAGCCCCTTAAGGAGCCCAGGTGTTTTAAGGAATGAATTGGTCACTGCATCTTGTATCGATTATGGTTCTGAGAAAAGCAAATATCACTTTTGGCTGCATTAAAAGAAGCATCATATATAAAATAAAAGAGATGAAGGTCTACTCTTTATTGCCCTGGTACATAAAGGAAGGGGGCGTTTGGTTCCAGACCAGTGAGAGAGGGGCACCCCTTCAAGGCGGGTGGAGGAGGCACTCCCCAAAGGAAGGGCTTGAGGCGGTTTCCCGAGGAGGAAGGAGCAGCCAGGGCCTTGTCTCAGCATGGGAGCAGATTTGGGCCTCCACTTGTAGGACTCCAGAAACAGAAAGGGCTGTTTGACAGAGCCGGGGACGCCCCTCTGCTGCAGTGGAAGTGAGGACACAGCTTGGAAGACCGCAGAGGCCCCGAAGTGTCCATGGTGGGGGGCCCTACGGGGATCTTACCACAGGCGTGGGGCTGGGACTTCCGCACTGCCCAGACACAGGCCCTGGGCCCTTCACACCCTCAGCTACCCAGAGCTCCACTCCCGCCCCTCGCCCCAGCTCCACCTCAGCCTGCCGAGGGGTCCTGTGTGCCCAGGACCACACTCTCTGCCAGGACACAGTTTCCCTGCTCTCCAGAACAGGCCTCTGCTTCAGATCCAGTGGGACTTTGTAGCGTCTTCCCACAGGCCACAAAAGGGTGCTCGTTGGTCCTGGGACCTCAGACCCTCTGAGAATCACAGGGATGCCAGGTGTGTGACACTGGTTCCACTGGAGAGGGAGGCCCCCCGGTCCCAGTGAGGGGCTGTGATGTACCCGTTGGTGGGAGAGTGCGTGCAGAGTGAGGAAAGGGAAAGAGGGGGCCCTCTCTGTCCCTGGAGGGGAGGGTTGGGAAGGAGTTGGGTGGCCATTTATCCCCGTGCCTTTTGAGGCTGGAAAACAGCGTGTTGAGTTGGATCATCCGGTCTGATGAAGGCTTTGGTTACTCAAGGTTATGTGAGATGAAGTAAGTTAACCAATTAGGAAAATAGGTCAGTTTCATAGCACTCCTTTATAAGCAGAATCGTTTAACTCAGTGTGTTTTGGGGAGACTGGTCGAGTGGGAAGCTGTTAACAGACTTGGATGAGGCCTTGGACCCCATCCCCCAGTGTGTGAGAGGTGCGTGGGCACCACCTGGGCTCCCCGAGTGTCCAGGAGGAGAAAGTCATGGCAGGAAACTGCCATGGGGAGCTCAGGGACACCAAAGAGGCCAAAACAGCTGCTAGAGAAAATGAGTTTTTGAAAAAGAGGAGCAGCTTGCCCTCCAGCAGCATTGCCACTCAGGAATCTTCAGAAGCATTAAGCTGTCCCCAAGGGGTCTGCTGGCCTCCAAACTGTCCAGCCCTTCCCTCCAAAGTCTCTGGGGACGGGGGTAGGGCCCAAGTTCCTGCTTCCCTGCTGCGCCGAGCAGGTTAAATGATCACCCTCACTCCGCCCCGACGCTCTGAGAGTGAAGTGGGGTAAGAAGAGCTGGGAAAGCCGTTTTCTCTCCCTGAACAGACGAACCGTAGGCGTGGGGGCTGCCGGTTCGGCCCAGCCAGGCCAGCGGGGGAGAGTAGGAAGCAGGGGCGGGCAGGAAGCAGGGGCGGGCAGCGTCCAGCATCCACCCTCGACTCATCCTGCTCCTGAGGCTCCCTAGGCAGAGGGGTTACCTGGGGGCCTGGGGCTGCGGGTCTGAGCCCTCGGATGGGGCCCTGGCTGCGGGACTCAGAGTCACAAGACGTCCCCCAAAATAATGCGGCCTCTGGCTGGGAGCGCCGACGGCCCCCGCCCTCCCCAAGCCCGGCCTCAGGGAGCGGCAGGTCCCGGGGTCTCCGTCGGCCTCTCCTGCCCTCGCGCTTCCCTCCTCACGGAACGCTCTGAACCCCAGCGGAGCGGGATGGGGGGCAGGCCCCGGGGAGCGCGGTGAGAGCCTCGGCCCGGGCCCAGGCAGAGGAGGCGGCGCCGGGAGAACGGGCCACGCGTGGCCCCGGCAGTAACGGTGCCCCAGGCCGGGCTAAGACCGCTGGCCGCACACCGGCTCCGATGCCCTGGCGGCCCCGGCGCACGCGCACCGCGCACGCACATGCGGCGCGCTCCTGCGGCACTCCAGCCGTGGTGCACGCGGACGCCGGGCCGCGCGGCCCTGCGCGCGCTCACGTGCACGCCACGCGCGCGCTCACGTGCACGCCACACGCGCGCGGGCTGCGACACGCTGTGTGCTCACGCACGTCCCGGCGCCCCTACGGGGAATTCGGGCGCGACTCCGGCCCCACGCGCGTGCACGGCACCCACCCTCGCCCCCGCGCCCACCCCCGTCCTGAGCCCGCGCCTGCGCGCGTTCACTCTCTGGCACACCTGCACGCGCGAACACGCACGCGCAGACATACGGGCGCGCGAGGAGTGCAGCCGAGTCGCGCCGCGGCCGGGCGCGGCCCCTTTATTCGCTTCAGGAGGCGGAAAACTTTCTCAGCGCGACGACCACGAGCGCCAGCACCACGCAGGTGGCCAGCAGGGCGGCGATCACGATGGCCGCGATGGCGCCGGGCCCCAGCGACCCTGCGGAGGACGGAGGACCACGTCACCTGCCAGCCCCGGCCCGGCCGGCCCTCCTCCCCGCGCCTCCCGCCCCTCCTCATTTCTCCCTCCCCCGCCCCGCTCGTACCGCCGCCCTGGTCCAGCCGCTCCTGCGCGGTGCTGTCCTCGGGTCCTGGCGCGACGGTGGGAGCTGGGGGACCGGTGTCTACGGGCTCCCGGCCGGGGCTGGTGCTCTCCACGGGGCCTTCTCCCGACGGCAGCTCGGCCGGCTCATTCCACAGCGTGGGCACGGGCTCCTGTGGAACATCATCTGCAAAGCCAACGGGAGGCGCTGGGGCCCCAGGTGACAGGGCCGACAGGGACGTCACCCCCTACCTCTAGGTTAAGCAAGTTGCAAGTTGCGGGTAGCGCTGTATGAGGGGTCTGAGCTCAGCGCTGCACTAGCCCTGACATTTCCCAGGCTGGGAAGCTGAAGCCAGTGCATTGCTGCCTCCTGTAGGGCAAGGCCAGTGGGTGGGCAGGAGTGTCTGGTCAGTGTAAGGGAGGTGCCCCCCGAAAGCCCTTCTCTGCTCATAGGGTTGGGAGTTGGCAAGATTTGGGGTACCCAGGGACCAGAGAGCAGGAAGGAGACATTCTCAGTCCCGCAGAAAGCACAGGCTGAGACGCCTACATGATAACCCCCGCCCTGTACCCTCACCAGTCAGCCCACCCCAGTTGTCCTCTCCCACCCATCACCCCAACCCTGGGCCATCCATCCCCCATAACCAGATGGGAGGCCCCAGAAACGCTAGAAAGCTCAAGATGGGGATGGTAGGTCGGCTCTTGGCCTCTCCAACCCAGCCAGACCATCTGACATCACAGTGTTGGCACTGTCTGATTCTCTCTCTCTCTCTCTCTTTTTTTTCTTTGAAACAGTCCTGCTGTGTTGCCCAGGCTGGAGTGAAGTGGTACGCTCTCAGCTCACTGCAGCCTCTGCCTCCCAGGTTCAAGTAATTCTCCTGCCTCAGCCTGCAGAGTATCTGGGACTACAGGCACCTGCCACTATGCCCAGCTAATTTTTGTATTTTTAGTTGAGACAGGGTTTTGCCATGTTGGCCAGGCTGATTTCGAACTCCTGACCTCAGGTGATCCGCCTGCTTCGGCCTCCCGAAGTGCTGTGATTACAGGTGTGAGTCACTGCAGCCGGCCCCATGCCCTAATCTCAACTGGGATAGAGACTGATCCAGGGACATTCGACCCTCAAACAGGTCCCTTGGATGAGCTTGAGGATGTCCTGACACCTCATCTCTTTGACTCCAGCTGCTCTGTGGTGTGGGAACTGCTTTTATCGCCATTTCAGAGACAAGAAAGCCAAGACTTGGGGATAAGGTGCCGCGACGGTGAGCACAGGTGGGCTGAAGCCCCTGGACAGTTGCAGGAGTGGTTGTGCTGCCCAGAAACAGTGTAGGGAGGTTGCCGTTCTGTGAACAGACCCTGCTGGCCAGCCTGCGACCCTAGGGCACCTTTTGCCCTGCGGGTTCCATCCCTGAGCGCTGGGGCAAGACTGAAGCCAGACACTTGCTCTCCTGTTAGGCTCACCAGCACCCAGAGAGGGGGATGCTCGAGAGGACACAGAGGTCCTTCCTGGGTTTTCCAGCCAGTTGTGTCCATCTAGGGCAAACCACGCAGAAACATCGGCCAATCCAGACTCAGGGTCAGTCTTAAAGTAAATGGGCCTTCCCAAATGTCAAAGTCAGGAAAAATGAAGAAAGACTGAAAGGTTCCAGATCAGAGACTAAGGAGACAACTCAATGTTCCTGGACGGGGAGGGACAGGCCTGTGATTGGAGACGCTGGGGTCCATTGGTGAAGTTTGAACAGGGTGTGGCTTAGGACTGCCTCAGTGCTTATTTCCTGGTTTTGATAGCTGACTCTGGTGTGTACGAGAATGTCCTTGTTCTCAGGAAGAATTTAGGGGCAAAGGAACATGACTTCTGCAACTTACTCTCTTTTTTTTTTTTTTTTTTTTTGAGACGGAGTCTTGCTCTGTCACCCAGGCTGGAGTGCAATGGCCAGATCTCGGCTCACTGCAAGCTCCGCCTCCCGGGTTCACGCCATTCTCCTGCCTCAGCCTCCCGAGTAGCTGGGACTACAGGTGCCCGCCACCTCGCCCGGCTAGTTTTTTGTATTTTTTAGTAGAGACGGGGTTTCACCGTGTTAGCCAGGATGGTCTCGATCTCCTGACCTCGTGATCCGCCTGTCTCGGCCTCCCAAAGTGCTGGGATTACAGGCTTGAGTCACCGCGCCCGGCCTCAACTTACTCTCAAATGATTCAGCATTCAGATAGAAAGAGGAGTCAGCAATGTAGCAAAATGTTGGCAGTTGGCGAGACTAGGTGGATGGACTCCTGGAGTTCATTGGATTGTAAAGTTCACATCTTTCCACAATAAAATGTTAGCAGGTGCCTGGCTTCCGGGCCTCTCTCAAGCCTGGAGAGGTCGGTTGCAAGGCTCAGCTCTGAGACTCAGCTTGCTGACCTTTCCACTGACCTGCCACATTCCCCAGGGCTGGCCCAAGGGAGAACCCCTTTCCAGAAAAGATCTCTGGCAGGAGGCCCCAGGGGTAGAAGGCCCACTGGCCCCCAAGTCGGGGAGGCTTCCCTCCCGAGGGGCCCAAGGCTGGACTGCAGCACTGATGTCTGTCCAGCCTCCCACCAACCTTGAAGACCACCCTGAGAGGAGGGGAAGTGGCCCAGCCAGGCCTCCCGTGTCGCAGCCAGAGAGGCAGGGGTCTGCAGCCATGCAGCCCCCATGGAAAGCCTCAGGCCCCTGGCGTGCTGCCTCAGGCTTCTGGGGGCTGGGCAGGTAAAAGGCCTGAGTGTGCCCACCGCCTGGCAGGCGCCAGTGTCTAGGCTCACTGACTGCCTGAACATGTCCAAAGAAATGCACAAATGACACACCCAAGACAGACTGGCAGGCAGGCACCTCCCTGCATCTGGAGGCCGCGACAGGGCTGCTGGGTACCAGGCCCAGCTGACCCGGGTGGCATCTGCGGGAATCAGCCAAGGAGTGGCAGACCTCCAGCCACTGTGAAGGCAGGGCTCAGTCCCCGGGCCAGTGCAGCAGGGGTGAGCTGCCACCCTTGAGGGTATCCTCTGAGCAGGGCAGTGGGGAGCCCCACTCAGGCCCTGTCCCTGTCTGTCCCCCATGACCCAGCCTGTCTCTGCTGCCCCCACCACCAGACATACCTGCCCTGGCCGCCTCCCACTGTACACAGCCCCCTCCTGCCCAGCCAGGCCATGAAGCTTCCTAATCAGGAGGGCTGGGGCCTATCCTTGCTCCATCAGGTTCTCACCCTGGACTTCATGCCCCAATCCACCTTCCTGACTTTTGAGATGGGGGTTCAGACTATGCTGTCAAGCATCTTGCACAAGGAGGTAACTGTGTGAACACCAGCATCTTCAGCTGCTGCCTCTGGCCTGGGGCACAGCTCTGGATGCAAGCCCAGTTGCTATGGGTCTGCAGCCGCTGGCCACCACAGGAATCCCTCACAGGCTGGCCCAGGACCCATCTGTACCCAAGCAGCCAGGGCCCCAGGGGCCACCAGCTCCCTGCCAACCTAGTCTGGTGCCCAAGTGGCAGACACATGGGCTCGAAATGACAGCCTGCACTCAGTCACTGACCCACCAGGAAAAGGGGTGCCGCGGCCAGGGAGGGGCCGAGCCACTTCTTATCCTCATCTGTGTTTCTAGAATTTGCTCCAGTAAGAAGGGAAAGCAAAGCTGAAAGGCAGTTCCCATCTTCCCCCAAATCCATCCTCTGGGAAGCTGGGAGCAGGGCAGTTTCCCAGCAGGAGTCCTGTCCGGGGAAGGCGGAGATGGGGCAGGAGCGAAGGTATGGAGGACGGAACTCATGGCATGCCAGGCAGGCAGTGAATAGGCCAGGGTGACAGAAAGTGAGGGTGGCAAAGAGGTGGGGGCACCGAGGACCCCAAGAAAGTTCTATCTGCCTTGGCGGTACCGAGGCCCAGACTCCATTGACCAGAATTAGCCATGTGGTGTGACTATGCGCTCTGACCCAGGAAAGCGGGGGCTGGTGGCACTGCCACAGGCCTGGGCACCACGGGCTCTCTCCCAGCCCCACTGGCCCCAGCCGCCCTGCCTTTTGGTAAATAAGTTTGTTTGACCACAGGGCCCTGAGGCCAGGCGCCTGTGCTCACAGACACCCTTTGTGTGGGCCATGAAGGGCCTTTTCATCCCTGCCCTGGCCTCCTGCCCACTCAGCCTAGCCCGCTACCACCTCAGTGGCTGAGGCCACAGGCTCCCAACAGGGAGGGCCTGGGCCTCAGATGGGGCCTGGGCCTCAGCCCGCAAGGCCGCTCCTGCCCTTCCTGTCTGCTACAGGACCCCAGTCCACAGAGCAGAGGGCCGTGTACACACCTGCCCAGAGTTCCCAGCCCAGGGGTGGGGTGCTAAGAGCCTCCCAAATGCTCTTCCCCCCAGAATGGCAAGAACAACAGCCAGAACCCCAGAGACTCAGGGGCTGGGATGGCATGGTCTGGCCCCTGTGGGGAGCCGCCTGCTCTTGGTAGAACACATGGAGGGAAGTGGGGCAGTGAGGCCAGGTGAGGTCCTGGCTATCCCCAAGGCATCCTATGGTGGCAGAGGAAGCCCATCCGCCCACATTGATTAGGGACAGTCTGGCCCAGGCACTCTGGCCGGCAGCCTGGGCCGGGAGGGTCAGCCACACAGGAGCAGGAACCTGGGCAGGAGCCACAGGCAACCCGGGAGCCAGGGCCTCCCCTTCCGCCCACGTGGACCACCAGGCTGGAGAAGCAGCTTCATCCCGGTGAGGGGGCTGCAAAGATCACAGCCCCAGGATCCAAGCCATAGAAGATGCCACCTTCCCCTTTAGGTCCCTTCCCCCAACTCCTGAAGACACCACATGGCTCGCTTAGGCTGGCGCCTCTTCCACCACGAGGGAGGCTGGCGCCCTCCCAGCCTGCGGGAGGACGGAGAGTTCTGCTGAAATCACCCGGCGCCAGGGAGGGGCTCAGACCACGGAATCCGCATTCCCCTGATGCTCACTGAGCGCTAACTGGATGTGGGGCCCGTCCCAAAAGCTCCGCACATCTGAACTCACGAGGCCTCACAGCCCCCTGCAAGTGAGGCAAAGTGTGGTGGTGTCATCATCCTACAGATGAGAAGGCACAGAGAGGTTAAGGAACCGCCCGGCCAAGACTGAGCACACCCTGGCCTCGAGCTTCTTCCTGGGAATCCAGGGAGAAGCCAATAATCCCCGGGGCTCCTCGCTGTCACCCAGACCTCCCAGGGTGTGGCCGAGGGGGCCTCCCCAGGGCTGTCGTCCCCCAGAAACTCTCCCCAGGCCATGCTCTCACGCTTACAGTCCACCTTTCTCACAGATCCACGGGCACGCTCCAGAAGGTCCAGGGTGCAGGGTCCCTGAAACCCGCTACTGTGACACAGAAGCCGGCTGCCCTTTGGTCCAACTCCTGGCTAACAGGAGCAAAGACCACCTGTAACCCGTCAGTGTCCTTTGTCTCTCAGGCTCTGAAGCCAGCCTGGGCCAGTCTTCCTCTCCCCACAGGGCCCTTGGGAGCCTGCCGGAGGCCTCCCTTTCATGGGACCCCAGACTTGGCCACTTCGATCTCAGTCCAGAGGTCCACACCGTTTTGCAGAGGGATCTTGGGCCTTGTATTCTCTCTCCCTCTCTCTGGAGCCTTTCCCAAGATGGGGACAGTACCTGGGTCCTCATTCTCTAAGGACATCGCAGAAACCGGCAGGGAAGCTTTTGAAAGTGATCAGCAAGGCTCTGCACTCCTCTGGCCCCTCAGCCACTTGTCATGTGCCTGGTACCCCCGGCTGCCTCCCCGACCTGGGAGACTTCAGATTTTAAAGTGCTAGAGCAATTCCCATGTCCCCCCAACAGCAGAACATCCCTGGGCCTGCCCCACAAGTCGTCCTCCTTCTTCAGAGGCCATTATCCCTGCTGCTAACCATTTCCTGAGACATGCATCCCACACAGCTGCTGCCAGCCGGCCTCACAAGAGCTCTTCACAGAATCGCCCCAAACAGTCGCCCCATCTCCTGTGAGGGGCTTCCTCCCCAGTGAACGCTGAAGAATCTGGCCCCAAGGTAGTTATCGGCCCTGGGAGGCTAGTGGTGGCAGAGACAAGGGCCTTCACCCCTTACCTGTGAGCACCGCAGGGACCAGAACCCCGGAGACCAGCAGCAGCGCCATGCGCAGGGCCAGACAGGACGCCATCCTGGCCGGGAGTGAGCGCAGCGGCGAGCGGGACGCAGGGAGGACTGCGCTGGTTAACTTCAGGGCAGTGAGAAAGAGGCATCAAAGGGCTGGGAAGGGTTTTCATCAATGCAAACTCTGTCCTCCTGGGACACCGTGCCCGCCCCCCCCACCCCCACACACACAGCAAGAGCTTACAGAACAGACCTGCTTTCCTGAACCTGGGAGCAGCCCTACTCTTGGAGAGGGAAAGAGGAAATTGCCTGTGCTCTCTCTCTCTCTCTCCATCCCCCAGCACACACGCGCCTCCCACACTTACTCCTGGACCACTGAAAGTGAAAGGTTTTCAGGCTTTCTTGTGCAAAAGAATCACCCAGGGAACTTGAAACATGCAACTGCCTCTGGCCACAGTGTTTCAGTGGGGCTTGGGTAGGCCAGGGAATCTGCATGTTAGTGCCTGTGGCCTGGGCTTGGGGAAATTTGGCCTGAAGCAGGCAGCACTGAGTGTAGGATGCACTCGTTCACCTCTGGGTTCCCCATGCCTGGCCCAGAGTAGGTGCTCAGTGCTTGTTGAAGAAGGACTTTTAAAGCAGTTTTGATCCAAACCCTCAGGCAGCTCTAGTCTTTCCTAAAACACTCCTGTCTCCTCTTTTGCTCTCTGCTCCCCTAGACCCCTGTGCACTTACGACATCCATTTCCAGGCTGGGCCTGGCTCAGAACTCAGCCCCACTGCCCACTGCTCCTCAACAGCTCCACGGGGTATCTGACGAGCGGCTACAACTTACAGTGTCCAAAGCAAACCTTGACTCCACTGCCCCTTCCCTCACTCAGTCAATGGAATCCCAGTCTCCCTGCTCCCAGATGTTCTAGCCACACAATGAAGTCATCAGAGGTCTCTTTCCCTCACTTCCCATGTCCCAGCCCTCAGAGTTCTGCCAGCGCCCCCTACTTCACACCTTGATGGTTTCCCACTGCGCTTAGGTCTTGCCTCAGCCCTGCTCAGCTCCCCACCCACGAGTTCTATGTTTCAGTCCACTGGCCGTGACTAGGCTCCCCCAACAAACCCCCCGATCCTGCCTCAGGGCCTTTGCATGTTCCCCTCTCCCTCTCCCAGAAGGCAGTCCCTGTGGTCATTATGTGGCCACCCCTTCCATTCCAGCCTCAGCTTGCTAAGTCAACCCCTTGATCCCACCATCACTTCACTTTTAATTTCTTTTTAGCGTGCATATTTATATGAAATTACATTGTACTTTTTGTTAATTTTTTGAGGAGCAACACGTATTCTGTGAAGCACACAAATTTTTTTTTTTTTTTTTTTTTTTTTGAGACAGAGTTTCGCTCTTGTTGCCCAGGCTGGAGAGCAATGGCACGATCTTGGCTCACGGCAACCTCTGCCTCCCGGGTTCAAGCAATTCTCCTGCCTCAGCCTCCCGAGTAGCTGAGATTACAGGCGCCCACCACCACGCCCAGCTAATTTTGTATTTTTAGTAGAGATGGTGCTTCTCCATGTTGGTCAGGCTGGTCTCAAACTCCCATCCTCAGGTGACCCACGCGCCTCAGCCTCCCAAAGTGCTGGGATTACAGGCATGTGCCACCGCGCCCGGCCTGAACAAATCTTATGTTTACCGATTGATAAGGTTTAGCACCACCCAAATCAATAGAGGCCCTTCCCAGCACAGCAGCAGGGCTCCCTGTGCCCACCCCAGTCATACCCGTAATGTTCTCTTCTGTCTTCTACCTCCACAGCTTCATTCGTCTACTCTTGGAACTTCAAAAAATGGACTCATACGAACTCTTGTGTCCGGCTATGTTAATTCAACATTGTCTATGAGCTTCATCCACGTTGTTGCGTGTAGCAGTAGCCCATTCATCTTTCCTGCTGAATAGTATTCAACTATATGAATATGCCAGTTTACCCATTCTCTTACCCACTTCATGCATTTATTTCTCCATCTCCATCTGAGTTATTTCTAGGTCTGGGCTTTTATGAATGCAGCTCTAATGAATATTCTTGTGCATGTCTTTTTGTTGATGGAGGTGCTAATTTCCCTCAGTTGTATAACTAAAGATGGAATAGCTAGGTCAAGGGTAAGTACATGCTTAGATGCTCTAGATACTGCTAAGCAGTTCTCCAAAGTGTGTGCTCCAGTCTCTGCTCTCACCAGCAGGAGAGTTCCAGTTGCCCCACATCCTCATCATTACTAGGCATTGCCAGTCTTTTTATCTATAGTCATTCTGATAGGTATGTAGTGGTATCTTATCGTGGTTTTAATTTGCACTTCCGTGACTAATAAAGTTGAATACCTTTTTGTGTTTATTGGCCCCAGGAATATTCACTTTTGTGAAGGGGCTGCTCCACTGTTTTGCCTATGTATTTCTTAGGGTGGTCTACATCTTAAAATTTAGTTTGAGAGTTTTTGGTATATTCCAGGTAAAAATCCTTTGTCAGGTGTATGTAATGGTGCCTCCAGATGAAGGGTTGCTTTTTCGTCTGTCTTCACCCTGTGATTGTTCAAGGAGAGTGGGGGCTTTTTGTGTTTACCAGTGCAGTCCCAGAATCTAGCACCATGCCGAGCCTCACAGCAGAAACTTCATATGTGAATCCCATCAGCAGGAACTTCTGGGATAGATTTAACATTAAATATTTTCTCACTCATTCACTCATTTCTTTTTCTTTTCCTTTTTTCTTTCTTTCTGAGACGGAGTCTCACTCTGTCGCCCAGGCTGGAGTGTAGTGGCACGATCTACACTCGCTGCAAGCTGCACCTCCCGGGTTCACGCCATTCTCCTGCCTCAGCCTCCCGAGTAGCTGGAACTACAGGGACCCACCACCACACCAGGCTAATTTTTTTTTTTTTTTTGGATTTTTAGTAGAGACGGGGTTTCACCATGTTAGGCAGGATGGTCTCGATCTCCTGACCTCGTGATCCGCATGCCTTGGCCTCCCAAAGTGCTGGGATTACAGGCATGAGCCACCATGCCTGGACTTTTTTTTTTGAGACTTAAGTCTCACTCTATCACCCAAGATGGAGTGCAGAGGTGGAATCTCGGCTCACTGCAACGTCTGCCTCCCGGGTTCAAGTGATTCTCCTGCCTCAGCCTCCCGAGTAGCTAGGATTCCAGGCACCCGCCACCACACCCAGCTGCTTTTTGTATTTTTAGTAGAGACAGGGTTTCACCATGTTAGCCAGGCTGGTCTCGAACTCCTGAACTCAGGTGATCCACCCGCCTTGACCTCCCAAAGTGCTGGGATTAGAGGCGTGAGCCACCTTGCCTGGCCGTCGTTTACTCATTTCTTAGCTTGTTTGCTCTCATCCCCTGCCCCTCTTTCCGTGCTCTACTATGTACTGTAGCAAGGCCACGTGGAGTCACACTCCTGACACTTTCTTGCCAGCTGCCTGCCTGTTAGGGTCTGCCGGTGGAAGGCAGTGGCAGGAGACAGAAGGTGGGAAGGGAGACGTGACTCTGCTTCAGATTTCTGACGTCTTGGGTGGCAGCAGCACCACTGGCTAGAGCAACATCAATGACAAAAAGTCAGGTGGTGGTGGCTGCAGGGACAGCGACAGACAGCTAGAAGTGTAGGCTTCTGGATCCTCCTCAAAGCGGCTGGACTGTGACACCAGGAGCCTTAGTGGACAGTGTTCTGGCCTCTGAGTAATTGCTGCTCCTCAGTCCAGGGCGTTATTGATTTCCTAGTTACTGTGACTTTTTTTTTTTTTTTTAATTGAGACTTTGCTCTGTTGTCCAGGCTGGAGTACAGTGGCGCAATCTCAGCTCACTGCAACCTCCGCCTCCCAGGTTCAAGTGATTCTCCTGCCTCAGCCTCCCTAGTAGCTGGGATCACGGCGCCCATCACCACATCCAGCTAATTTTTGTATTTTTAGTAGAGACAGCATTTCAGCATGTTGGCCAGCTGGTCTTGAACTCCCAACCTCAAATGATCTGCCGGTCTTGGTCTCCCAAAGTGCTGGGATTACAGGCATGAGCCAGATTGCCCGGCCAGTTGTCTTTTTCTTTTTTCTTTTTTTGAGACAGTGTCTTTCTCTGTTGCCCAGGCCGGCGTGCAGTGGCACAGTTATAGTTCATTGCAGCCTTGAACTCCTGGGCTCAAGCAATCCTCCCACCTCAGCTGGGACTGAATAATTATTTGTTTTTTGTAGAGATGGGGTCTCACTCTGTTGTGATCCAGGCTGGTCTTGAATTCCTGTGCTCAAGCCATCCCCCTTGCCTTGCCCTCCCAAAGCACTGGGATTACAAGTGTGAGCCACCACGCCTGGCCTAAAGTGACTTTGAGTAACCTTACCTTCCCTCTTTTGTTCCTTCAGTCCTTTAAACATTGTTGTAACAAATTCCTGTGTTAAATCTCTTCTGTTTGAAATACTTAAAGTGGTCTCTGTTTCCTAGTCAGACTCTGACTAGTACAGTATTATACTTGGTACCCGGAATGGTCCCAGAAGAGAGACCCTCAAAGATCTCTTTCTGGCTTGAGGTTGAATGCAGTGAAGAACTCATTGCCAGTGAAAAATGAGATACTGGCAATATATGGCATGTCAATATGTAAATATTTGTGGCTGCTCAGCATGAAGTATCCACTGAAGACAAGATTTAAAGAACCAAGGATGCTGCACTTGACGTTTATGGTGGTGATAATGAGCAAAAGGATAGTGAAGTAAACTGGCTACTTTTTACAGCTTTGCGTGTTCACAGAAAGAAAATGACAAGCTCAGGCTTTCAATTCTAAGGTCAAGGCATAATCAGATAACTAGAGCATTTCTATGGTAGTCTTTTAAATATCTTTTTTTTCTTTTTTTTTAACACAAGGTCTCACTGCCATTGCCCAGGCTGGAATGCAGTGGCATGATCTCAGCTCACTGCAGCCTCAAACTCATGGGCTCAGGTCATTCTCCCACCTCAGCCTCCCAAGTAGCTGAGACTACAGGCACGCACCACCATGCCTGGATAATTTTTGTATTTTTTGTAGAGACAGGGTTTCACTGTTTCTCAGGCTGGTCTCAAACTCC